CTCCAACAGCATCACAATATGGAATAAGTTCGACTGCGCTGAGTGCAACTCTTGCTTCTCTTATAATTAACAGTTGTAGAACAACAGATGATTTTTCTATTTCTAAACGAAGTATTTTGAGGTAGAAAAAATCAAGTATAAGTACAACTGCCTGTAAAATTAAAGATAACTTTATTATATTGGCTAAGGGTAAAAGTCTTACCGTGCATTTTGACTCCAAAATTATGGTAGAATTGAGAGAAATTGGTAAAGAAAAAGTTGAAAGATTAGCTGTGCTAATCAGTTCACCAGATCTTTCAGAGTCCCAACTTTTGGGTATTTTAATTGTGAAAGATGGCACTGCTGAGTCTCTTGGGAAAGCAATCAAAAAAACTTTACAAGACTGGGAGCTATTTGACTATGTTGATTGTCTGTCCTTTGACACCACAGTCACAAATACTGGTTGACTAAAAGGAGTCTGCACTCTTATTGAGCAGTGAAGAAGAAAAGCTTTGATTTGGATGGCTTCTCGTCATCATGTCTACGAATTACATATAAAGGTAAATATTGAAAAGAAGTCATAAAATATTTTTATATTTATTTATTTAATATTTCTCGATGAATTTAATAACGATTCACCTTATCAATAAAATTTAGCTTAGTGATTTGAAACAAATATATTTTATCACTTTTCAAGTGTTCTTACTGGAGGTAAAACAAGTGGACCAAAAACTGAGTTATTTGAAAGGCTAAAGTGTAATTGGAAATCGATTCTTGGTGTTTTATACCCCACCCTAATATATATATATATATATATATATATATATATATATATATATATATATATATATATATATATATATATATATATATATATATATATATATAAACTCATCAACTCATAAATTACGTTAGCTTGTAACTTTTTAGAGCACTTATTTTTTTAAAGGTAGATGGTAACAAATTGTAATATACAACTATAACGTACTAAGTGTGTGATTAGATAATAAAGCCCCTCCCTCCCCTCTTTTATTTTATTTGAAAAAAATTCAAATAAAATATTATACCTTATCTCTTCTCCAACCTCATCTATTTACCACAGATGATTCCATGATGTCTATGTTCCATCACTTTATACCAAGTTTGTCTAAACCATGCAAAAACCAATTGTGAACACAATGTTAATAAAAATGTTTTGAATTTAATTTCAAAGAAAAATAAAATAAAATAAATAATGTCTTACTTTGTACATTTAAAAAATGTTTAGATGTAGCAAATCTTTAAATTTTTAACAAAAAAAGGCAACAGAGCTATGTATGCTTGTTTCAGTTTATCAGGCTCTTCAATCAATGATCAAAACATATCAGATGTAGCACACATAAAACTAAATATTTCCATTTTTCCATATAATTAAGCTTTAATTTTTAGAATTCAATACTTTAACTTCTCTAAGTGAGCATGTCTTAAAGGAACAAGCAACCAAGAAGTTTGGCATTAAAACTCTGCAAATTTCAGAAATTTTTCTTGTATCATGTTTATATACAATATTGAGTTTTTATGGTTTTTTGTGAGATCGTCAGTGTTTCTGCAAAAAATTTTGATTTGCAATGGTTAATGTTTGTGACATTCTTTAGAGGTGTTACACCTATACATAATGTGACAGAGTTCTAATTGGTAATGAAACAGTAATGCTGTTAAGTTTTTTAGTTTTATAAACTAGATAACAAAATCGAAATAAAACATTTAATTTTGTAATTTGCCTAGCTCAAAAATTACAAATCAAATAGATATACTTTACACTTAGGACAAGTGATAATTTAAATATATATATATATATATATATATATATATATATATATATATATATATATATATATATATATATATATATATATATATATATATATATATATATATATAAAATTTTTTTTTAATGTTTTTCTGTGAACGTAATATTGTTTACTTCATCCAAAAAGTTAGTCATGTGACTTAGGCTTTCATTATCATTGGTTTAATTATAAATAACTTGGACAACTGTTTTTTTATGCGGTAAACATTGAACAACAGTGGTTGTTTCAAAGTTGCCCTTTTTTAAAATGACTATAGACGCTTAAAAATAGTTTTTTTGGTATGAGTTTTTAAATTAAATTAGCTTAGTACTAGAATATCATAAAAATATATAAAACTCGAAATTTTCAAAAAGTGGACATCTGTGGTTTTACCCGTGTGGTCTGTAAATGGAGTTAAAATAATTTTGACTTGCAAACTTTAGGCCTAAAAACATTGGGCCCTTTAATTCTAGAATACAGTTCCTTACATAGTGTAATTTTACAGTTAGAGTAGTTAATATTTTTTAAAGAAATATATATAAAGAAACATCTTAATGGTAATATTAAATTTATTTGCCAATGTTATAGTAAGACAATATTTATTTGACGAAATAAACTATATCATTTAAAAATTTCATTTTTAACCTACATTTATATAACTTTATTAGTTAATTAAACAATTTAATAAAGAATCATTAGTTAAACAATATAATTTTATGAAGCATATTAGAATAATTTTTAATCGTATTTTAAACCAACAAAACTCTAATTAAAGTATTACCATAGCTTAAAATGTAAAGGTATTGTCTTAGTAGTATCATTTAAAAATTTCATTTTTAACCTACATTTATATAACTTTATTAGTTAATTAAACAATTTAATAAAGAATCATTAGTTAAACAATATAATTTTATGAAGCATATTAGATTAATTTTTAATCGTATTTTGAACCAACAAAACTCTAATTAAAGTATTACCATAGCTTAAAATGTAAAGGTATTGTCTTAGTAGTAGCGTGTAAAAATTTGTGTTGCTTTGTTATTGTAAATGTATAATTTAAAAACTTTTTAAAGATTAATAGAGGAAAATTTCAAAACAAGTAAGACAGACAACACATCCAAGCAGTACTCACAATAACAATAACAAAAAATTGTATCATATAAAAAACTAGTACGTACGAAGATATACAACAAATATAACCAAAATAAAAATTTTTTTTAAACCAAAAAATTGATAAACAAAAAACTTAAAAATAAAAAACAAAAACAAAAAATATAAAAAACAAAAACAAAAAATATGGATAGCAATGTAAGGCCTTAGAATGGAAAAGGAACATTAATGCTAATGTGTAAACATAATTATGTAGTGATAAAGTAATAAACATCTCCTCAGAGTCGCGTCTATTATTACAGGCGTTTCGATAAGGATCAGCACTTATAACTAGTTTATCCCGTCAGACAAACGTCATCGCCACTTGTGCTTTACCCCGCGACTTACGCCTTATTATTTATATATTACTTACGCCTTTTTACTCATACTGCAGTAAAAAAGGACTCACTACAAATAGCCACAACCCCACCAACCCAAAATTTGTAAAACACTAATGTTTTTTAAAAATATGATATGAAAAATGTAGATAAACTGTAAAAAATAAATAAAAATAACTAAATAAATCACT